TAATGCTATTTTTAATCAGAATGTCAAATGCTAAWCGATGTTTTGCCATTTCCAACTTGATCTGCAAGTTTTTCTGTCACAACTCATTTCACAGAAAATCATTCTTCAGTGCTTGTATACTGTATCATTCCGTGATTTTCTCCAGTACTTGGCTAGTAGTACAGCTACTTGCATCAATTTGGAGATCATTTTACAATATTGGCAGTTTATTAACATGCACTCTCACATTGTCTCTGGATCTTCACCAGCTTTCCAAGGTTTTGGTTTTTTTTTCTGGAAGCAATTTCCACATTTTTGAGAACTCAGTCTTTCTGAAAGAAAACTTGAGGCCAGGTTGTGTGTCATAACAGAATTAGTATCTTGAGCATTATTAGCAACTGCTTGACATCCTTCTTTTCAACAGGTATCCTTGCAGAGCACAGGGAGGGCCAGTGCTGGAGAAGCAGGACCAAGAAATGCATGTAGGAACTGCAGAGGTCTGGAATATGGCCAGATATCATTTAAAACAAGCGAAGCTGCACTTCAAATTACAGTATTTAACAGTGTGGTACTTCTGACCTTAATCTGTTCATCACTGCATTCCCTGCCAGTAAAACAGGATGCTCTTCCTTCATGGTAATACTGTGAAGACACATTAATAACACCAAGAAACTGTAACATTCAAGTTCTATAAAAACAAGAAACTAATCAACCAACAACAACAACAGCCACCAAAAAAAAAAGGTCAGGAAATAACCCACACTAAGAAAATAACTTTCATTTTTCAGTCTAGGGATTTGTTAAGGGGAAGCAAATGCAGCCAAATATATATTGAACAATGAGGATTAGTTAAAGTAAGCCTCTCAAAATACTTCCTGTGTATCAGTGAGACATGAAAAAGACAGTTTCTCCACCTTCTGTGAAAAAAACAAAAAAAAACCACCCCCCCCCCAAAAAAAAGAAACAAACAAAACCCACCAAAAATCCCCAACCACCACCCAACACAGGGAATACAATGCAAGAAGACCATGCAATTAAAAATAATAGTCTAATAGATGCACTGAGGCCAACTTTGGATTTACAAAAACCTTTATTTTTGGTACCTAAGTGTTTCATTTGCAATCTGATAGAAAATTTCACRTTGTACGCATACATTTTCAACATGATTCTGTGCTACAGTTATTTTCTGTAAAGCCAGCTTCCTTCCAATTCTCAGCACTGAGAAATTTATTTTTTCTTAGGTATTATGCTGTGTTTATGCGTAACAGATGCCGATGCCCAGGTAACAGCTCATTTTAAATAAAAGGAGGCCTAAAGGAGAATTGCACCAAGCTGCTTATTAAAGATTGTGTCAGACACAGCCRCTTGCCCAGCTACCTTTTTTTTTTCTCTTAGAAATCCCCAGAATGTTTTGCTACCATCAAATTGGTAAAGTGCATTCCCTAGGATGAAATTCTCTGAAGCAGCACACATCCTTTACCTGTTAGGCAAAAAGACTTTATATCCTCATTTTGTGGTCCACCTCTGACACCCTCTGCATCTGTTTCTTCCTTGCTGGCTAAAATATCAGTTCACAAGAATTGTAAAACCTGTTCTCTTAACTCAAAAATCAAATGTTGCTTTCTTTCTGGCATGTTACCCAGTCATTTCAGTGCTTCAATCATGTGAATCTTTCAACCATATTTCTGTAAAAATACTGTCAAATATCTTCCTGCTAATGATCACTTCCAATTTCTCAGTTATTACTAAGTCTTCTCACAGTTAACATTTCTCACATTTTTGTTCTTTATATATATATTTGTATTTTCTCATTACGTGGTATCTAATTAATTAATTTCACATTTAAGCATTTAAGCATCTGAACTGGTATGACTCCCTTGACCACTCTTTCTTCAGTTTCAAGTTAAGTATCTTTAGACTATGGACAAAATCAAGAAATGCAGAAAACTGATTCTCCTTTAACACCAACAAATAAACTGCATTTGCTGCAAGTCCTTCCCCACTCTGGAAGATGTYTGATGCTCCATGAAATATGCCATGCAAGCCCTTAGTCCAGCAACTAACTTCCTGTATGTCCCATCTTTTGGAACAAACTACTTTTGGAGTTTGCAGAGGTCACTGAGAAGGTCCCACCCTGTTTTTGTCTCCAACCTGGAGACAAATCCTGGAGCCATGCAATTCCTGTCAGTGCTGACTGAGACTGGTCTAATTAGGCTTTGTCTATTCATAAAAATATCAGTGAGTAATGGATTGAAAAAATAAAAGAATGGCAACTGTTAATCCAGGCATAGTAATTTTAGTACTGCAAGTACATGCATAACATTTCTCCTCAGTAAATGAGAAGTGCAAGAATACTGCAGTGCTGTAATTYGAACCCAGCTATTGCTGCACCTGAACAGAACAGGGGGAACTCTGCTATCCTTCTTTTCCCTCCCTCCCAAGGGCTTTCCCACCTTCCCTCAGCTAACTTGCTAGCACAAAATTCCCTATTTGTTACAAGAATATACAGCATGCACAAACACTGCACAGATGCAAGTGTATGTACACAGCTGTATGATCCTAACCCTACAGCATCTCTGGACATCTTGATTGCTACATCTTTATATCACGGTATCAGGACAAAGCTCAACTAACTTCAAGTTAATCTCCAAATCTAAAGACTTTAAGGGAGGCAAATGAAGTCAGAAGAGCATCAGATTTTAAATTACCAAACAAGCACTACCACTGTGGAACTGCCCATGTTTTCATAAATAGGAAATAGGAGCACAATCTCACCAGTCCTGGTGTTATCAACCAACATGAATTTCCCCTTGCAGTGCATCTTACCACTTCCTATTAATGCAACAAAAATTGAACACAGTTTTGAGTCTGTTTCAGCAGAGCCAGCAAGAAATACTATTTCCAATTCATGWTGACTGATGCATGTACAATGATGACTGTTGTTCCCAGGTGTTTGTGCAAGGTCTAACAAGCCCCTGACATAATGGTTCAGTTAAGGCTGCATATACAGGGGCTTTAATGGTTTATTTCTTAGGAGGAAGGYTCATATATAGTGCCTTCTGTTGAAATAAAAATCCATTAAGTTCATGTGGAAGACACACGATTTTTAAATTAAAGGAAAATGGTGGGTGAATAAATGAAAAAAAAAAAGTCAAAATCATTACCTGATGATATCAAATAAGTATGGTAATTATGCACCTGACTGTAGTCTGGATAGCTTTCTGAAAAAAGAAAATAATGACGGGAACACAAAGACTGAGAAATAAGCATTTATTTGTGACTGAAGTCCTCCAACTTTTCCATTTCTATAAGACATCCAGCCCCATCTCTGCTCAGGAGAAGTCCAAAGTCCAGTCCACTCCTCAGCAGGTAGCCCTGACCTCCTGCTAAAGAAGTCTGGAGAAGTTAAAGGAACTCTGAGGATGTGCATTATGACTCAGCTGCTTGTTGGGAGTCCTTCCCCTCCAAATCTGAAGCCAGACATTACAGTAATTCCAGTGTCCAGTGTTTCCAGAAGAAAAGGCTATCAAGGAATAAAAAATGGTAAGTAGATGGGCTAAAAGGCCAACACAGAGGGAGCAAGCTGGTGGCATTGCTAATGCTCGGTGTTTGCTTTTGAACTCAAGTGTGTTTGTCTAGCAAATATACAAGGCTAGCAGGTYTGCTGGCATATGTGAAAACATCTCAGCTGCAGGAAGCCAAAAACATCAATAGTTCCCTCGAAACAAGGGCAAGGTGGTAAGATGTATGGAAAATAATGTCCAATTACTAAATTTCACTTGCATACCACCATGTAATGATGAAATCTTGAAATCCCAAAACTAAGCAAACCTCTCTGAGAAGGGAGGTCAGTGAGAGCTTTGGTTATGATTCCAGTAGCTGGGCTTTTATTAGCTCACTAATATTGTTCAATCAGCAGTCAAGAAGGCAAAGCAGAAATTAATAGAAAAATCCTTGCTGTTCTCTCATGCAGCCACCCACTTTTGATTTGTGGCTCCACAGAGTGTAAACCACTGCTGCTACCAGGTGAACAGAAGCATTACTGAGTTCAGGAAACAGAACCTGAGACACCATTAAATAAAACTGTCTTCTCCCAAGTGCTGCAGGGATCTGGAACGAAGAGATCAGCAAAATGATTGAATTAAAACCACTGACTACAAGAAAAAAAATTAATACTTGATAAGACATTTTCCAGTCTACTAAATCACAAAATATTTTATTAATTCTAAAATCAGTTTCATCAGTCCAGCCCTCRGAGACAAAACATTAAAAGTGCTCATAAAAACATTCTATCTACATGGGTTAAGAAGACCTTGGAAGAACCTATGTATATATCTCCTACAGGCAGAAACCCTCCCCCCAACCCAATCATATAAATAGGTATGCCAAAATGGCATGAGCTTATGGGGATTCAAAGAAAAGGCTGTACATTTTTTTTTTGTAGAAAACATGAACAAAAGCAAGTAACAAAAYACATACCAAACTAATCAAAACAGATGCCAAGTCTTCTGAGGGGAAAAAGATTGACATTTTCATCCTTCTACACAGAAGTATTCCTTCATGAAACAGAGAATGAAGCTCTTGTTATGAGCTGAAACCCTTCTAATCAACATGGTAATGCTGATGGTCAATACATTGCTATCCCACACACCAGGGCACAAACCATCCTGTACTGCTGCAGATCAGATCCCATGTTTTCAACGGCACCATATGCATGGCCAACTCACCAAAAAGGAGTTCCCAGACAAAATGTAAGTTATAACTGAGAGACAATCCTTTTTGTATTAATATTTAGTTGCAWAACATAGCAATCAGTTGAAAAACCATTTAAAAATATAGTAATTCTTTACATTAATCATTTAAACACTTAAAATTTAAGATTCATCTTCTCTAACTATAATTTCAATTTTTTTTCAAAAGAATTTTTGCTAGGTCTTACCTTGCAAGTTTTATGCATGTTAAAAACCCAATTAATGTTAAAGTAGGTTGTGCATTCTAGGACATAGCCACATAGCTCCATATGAATCTAAACAGCTTTTCTGAAAGCATCACTTTTAAATATTGTTGCCTTCTGCCTTTAAGAAAGATGAGAAAATCCCCATTTTATTCCCAAACCAGACTTAAGCATGATTAGAAACTTGCCAAGTGCCACGTATCTAAAATTGTCACAACATTTAAGGTACAGTATTGTCAAGCATGTGCAATCTGTATGCATCTAGACTGTTATTTGTGCAAAAACATGCAGACATACTCTGCCTCCACRTGTAAATCCACACCCTCTTCAGTGGGGGCTTTGTGGCAGTCACTTAGGGCAGAATATGGCCTACATTTACTTTCCTGGTTTTTTAAAGAYGAGAATAGTAACTATCTACTATCTGTTAAAAGAACCAACCGCAGAATGTTTTAGTAGAAAAATAAACATTTTAAATTATTGGCAGATTAACATTAGTGCAATTATTTTGACTGCCTTACTGCCACACAGTAGATTAAAAAAATACATTATCACGTGTGAAAAGAACCTAAGACACTTCAGAAGCAGTTATGTAGCTGCCAAATAAAGAGAAAAGGAGCAGATTCTGAGGCACTTTACATAGCTCTCAATGCTTAGTGCCTTCTAAAGCTCCAGGAAACGAGACCAAGGCTTGTAAACTAATTACAGTTCCTTCCATACAAAAATATATCACTTATGAGATTTTCAAAAGGCTGAGTAACTGCTGACTAGAAAAAGCACAATTGTTGTATTCAGCAGTATCCTAGACAACATCTGGATCAACTTCTTTCTTTGAAGAACCATTTTTGGTAGTCCGAGTTGGTACAAGGTCGCAACAATGGCGCTGGGTTCCCATTGTAAGCATTTGCCTCGGCTTGYACACACTTCTGGGTTTGTGGGTGAAACAAGGTACCATCCTACAAAAGACAGAAATAAAGTTTGCTTTTCAGGTCTCAAAAATTGCAGGCATATCACTGTGATAAAAKTAACAGAAGATATTGGCAACAAATAATTATCACTCATATCCTCCCAGTGAGGTCATGCAGTACAGCCAAAATGCCAGACTTCAGGATCTCTGAATCTTTATTAGCAGATCCTGCTTTTAAACTCATGAAAACTTAGATCAACATTGCTTTAGAGTGACTCAGGAAGTGACAACTMAGCCTGTAAAAGATGTGCTAACATTCACTTTCATTGCCTTTTGTTACTGGACCAGAACATGGCAGAAAAAACCAAAGCCAAACACAGGCATTAYCCAAATTTATCAATTTAYTGCACATCTTGTAAATGAAAGSTAAATATTTTTCATTAAGKGTAAAYGTTGGACATCTTTTTAGYAAGAAATCTTCCCRTCTCYGCACAGGGTATATTTTTGGTGGRAAAARWAAAAAWATCTAAGCATGSCCCTTGCATGCAGATKTGTGTGGAGTTCACTTGCTTTGCTGAAGGGCAGTACAGCTGCCTCAGAGGTGTAAGGTCTGACAGGCCTCCACAGTCAAATTCCCTAAAGAACACGTTCTGAGACCTCAGGCCGGTTTTTTTTACTGTAATCTCCAGACCAAGTCTCTCGTTCCAATCCAGGAGCACTGTCAGCTAGGACAGCAAGCTGCAAAAGGGCAGTGTAGCCAGCCATGAAGAATTGCCCTGAGGGAAGGATTGCTCTGAGGCCATCCCTTTGGCTTGGGTGACACTCCCCTTTGCAAGCACTCCCAAAGTCCCTGGCAGCTTTGAAAGCAAAATGCCAACGTCTGGTTTCTGGGTGTAACCCTGCTCCCTCCTGTGGAAGTCTGCTCCTCCCCTCATCAGGAATGTTGCACTTAATTGCATCCCAAGCTCCTGATGCCCAGCCGTGTGTGCTTGCTCACAGGCTTGCTGGCAGACTGAGATGATGAATGACTTTCCTGTTTCCGTCGTGGTAATTCAAATTTTGGTGTGGATTAATCAGTATCCGTCTCACTCATTTTTGACTCAGTGTCTSCAAGAACTCAGTTCTTGCCAGGCTGCTGGGAAGGCTGTTCAAGTCTTTGAATATGCTACATCCATAAGGACAGCTGTCTGACACCAGTGTGCACAAAAGGAAAAGGAATGTGGCACTGACACCTCAGCCATCACTCGCCTTGAAAGGTGGGGACTGGAGGTTTTGATTTAATGCAGCAGAACAGGAGGAATTGGAGCAGAGCAGCACATTCAAATCACACASGCAGGAACCAAGTGATCACGCGAGATGTTTAAAGTGATTCCTAAGGATTCAGGTGCTAAAATGAATGGTTAGGAACACAGTGGAAACAGATGCATTCCAYATCTTTTTCCAATATTATCATTTTTTTCATTTTGAAAATTTCGGTTTTCTCAATTACTTCTTAAAAGTGATTGAAGATGCTTCAAGATTATATCATCTTAGGGATTCATGTATATGACCTTGAGCAATTTTGTTAAAAGTCAGCATTAAAAATGAAACATCATTTATAAAGTCAGCCTTTTAAACATTTTTATTTAGTAATATCACTAWAAGCTTCAGTCTGGACTAGGTTTAGGTAATGGACAGCAATTTTCATCTCATTTGTTTAGAGTTTACCCGGCTACCTGTCACTGGTGGTAGTATGCAAGCGTGAAATTTGTCAACCACGGCGCCTGTAGAGTTTAGACACATTAGGCAGACACATTATGTAAATATACCATTTTGATACATTATGTGACCTTTCCCTTAGCCAAATAACAACACTCCAGAACCTGACCAAGGCCGTAATTTTTCATCCMGCTTATTTTCTCTCAGGCATCCAGCAGCTTCTTTAAAGATTCAAAACTTCTAAACACAAGTTTTTCTAATAGCATGTAGAGGCAGCTGCTTAAAAGCAGGAAAGAGCATAAAGTAAGGGTGGTGTGCGGAGTATTGGGAATATATGGTAATAGAAATATTGGAAAATAAATCAATGAAAAGAGAGCAGAGCAGTAGGCACCCACATGACTGGCTGGGGAAGGGGTAAATTGAGGTAAATTCACTCTCACGTGAAAACAATGGAGGTGACATGCAAAAGAGAATGTTCCCAACTTCTTTGATGTTAACAWGGGTGTTTTCCTTCCTCTCATCTTCCAGTTCTTTCTAACTGACATACTCTTTCCTCCCACCCTGTTTCTGTGTTCAGATATTAAAAAGCCAAGACAACATATTTCTCCCAGAGACCTGTGTCAGTGTTGTGGCCTGAATGATGTGTATGCAGTGAGAGAACAAGAAAAAAACCTCAACAATTCTCCTTTCACCCACTCCCAAAAAGAACCAAACCCAAACCCAAGCAGGCACACTTACCTCCCTGAAAACAAACTTCTGGTTTTCAGGAACACTGTGGACRTGTTCGTGACACAAATACATTGTCAAGTAGTCAGTCCCTGAATYGATTGCTGCGCAGACTTCTGGCTGTCGTGTGTTGTAGCGTATTTCATTATGRGATGTGTACTCAAAAAACTACAAACCCAAGAGAAGAAACAAAGGSCAGCAGTCATTTCATGTGTGCACAGAGAGTATCAACAAAATTTTTTTGTTGATAAATTTTACTCTGGTAGCACTTAAAATGCAAGACATGCTGAATATTGCCCTGGAAAACAGGCATTCCAGCATTAATGACCTTACAAAATTCAACTGTACTATTTGACCTTCACATTCTAGACCCCCTTTAAAAATAGGACAGAAAACAGTTTCTAGCCTGACATTATACTTTCTTAATTCATCACAAAGTAATGTTACTTTTAACTAAGGAGTTGCTCACTGCATAGTTCAAAYGCAGTTTGGTCCAGGTTGATTTCCAGTTACAATGCACTAAGGATGCATKGTGATAAGCATTTTATTCCATAAAGTTTTAAGATATTATTTAAAGCAAATCAGTTRCAGCTGCTCTTAAAGATGAACTAAACTTTCTTAAAGACAATTTACTATCTTTACTTGAATGATATTCTACAGAAGTGTTTTGAACATGCTTTCTAACTCCTGGCTTCTGTAGCAATCATGGTTGAAGACTTCCTTAAAATTTTATACCTATGTACATTTGCCAACTTTTGGACTTCATTAAAGAGCAGCAGAGTTTGAGAGTTGYTTGTATTTAGCACACTCATAAATTATTTAGATGACTATAGTGCACGGAAGTGTGTTTAGATCTGATTTAGATTACACTCAATAAAGTAGAGGAGAGTTTTATAAACATCGGAAAATTGCTTATTACCAATAGTACAGCTGCATTAGCAGAGACCAATAAAAGAACGAGGGAGAAAAGGAATCCTCTTTTGTTTTGTTTCACCCCTGCAGYCTGTAAGGCTTTGTGAAAGAGGCTGCACCAATTCAGAAATGTATATACTTGAACTTAGCACAAAAACATCCTTAACAACCACCAAGGCCAATAACCCTGAAAGAGAAATTGGAAATGGAATTTCAGTATAAACAGAGCCGTGTGATTACAAAATCTGCAGCCATCCATTTCCAAGTGTAAGAGCTCTGATCTACGTTACACTGATGATAGTTGTTTCATGAAATCTGCCCCTGCCATTATCACAATCAGGAATTTCTCTGCCAAGGTGGCTGTCACAGCCACACACCGACCAACTGCAACACCACTGCCCACTGCATCACCCTGCGGAGCTTCACGGTGTTTCTTTCCCAGCAATGATGCAAGTGACCACCCCCCCAGAATTCTCCCGTTTGCCATCAGTCATTTGTGGTAAACCACAAGAGGAAATGAGGTTTGGAGAAAGCAACATCAGGTTTGAGGTCTCCCTGCTGACATAAGACCCTGGAGACCATGATTTCTCCTTGAAATATATTGCTAGGATCTGTTCCCACAATGTAAGGTTGCACTACCTTTACATTTGCCTTATGCAAAAACAAGTCTCATCAACAAAAGTGAATTGTGCAAATATTGGTCCTATCATTATTATTAATATTTACCCTAAATAGGCAAATAGGCACAAATAGGCAGTGGATATTCTCTGGCCTTTAGGTTTTATTCCCAGGTTCAGTATCTGATCAGCACACGGAAAACCCGCTACTTGGGGCACCACAGGGACATGCATTTTAATCCTATGGCTTGTGAATAAAGAAAAAGGCTCAGTTCTGCTCAGTTGTGTGTGGATGGACCCTTTTTACAGCTGCCACTTTCACAAGCCATATTTAGAGCCTTGCTCATTAGGGGATTTATTAGCTATAATAACTCCTTAGCAATTTGTATTATAAGTGAAAGCCTGCAAGCTGCTGACTGTACCAGATGCATCAAGAATAAATGGAGCAGCTCCTAGATCAGAGCACTGCTTACTACTGACATCTTTCCTGAATGGTCTCTCAAGGACTTGCACCAGATTCTGAAGAAGAGCAARTAAAATGGTTAATTTCTGGATAATTTTAAGGAACAGGGTTATAGTATTAGCAAACAAGCCCTCCTGCCTTGTTGCCCCATGAACGTAAGACAGTTCATTACCCTATACTGCTTCAAATTGAATAAATTCTTCAGGCTTTGGGCTTTTCTAAGCTCTGGTAATACATGGTATCAACCTCTTCCTCCTCAAAAGGTAAAGCATTTTTTAGTTCTCTTTTCTTCCATTCTGTCAGCAGAAAGGAAGCATTTTCAAACTAATCCACAGCCCAATAGCTAGTAGCCTTATTGCATTTTTTTCCTTCTGAGAATGAGTAAATTCCCTTAAGTGTTATTGGGAAACCTGATGAAGCCTTTTCCCCAGTATCTATGGCTTCTGGACAATCTACAGGATATGCCTCAGCTGCATCAGTGTCTCTGTGGTACTGAGGCCAGCAGCTGATTTTGTCTACCTCACCGGACCCTGAAACACATTCTGATCCCYCTCTGTGCCTGGCTACTGCTCTTCTGCATGCAGGAGAAAGTTTGCACTTGATGGGTAGAACCAGCAGAGGGGTTACCAGTTCTGATACCCTTTTTTGCTGAAAACTYAAGGGCTTTGCTAAGTTCTTTGTTTACCTCTCACTTTTTACCTCAAATGTATCAAATGTTGATTTCTTTCCATCACATATTGGTGCCCTCTGTASTGCTTCCCAGCCATACCAAGAAGGGCAATGGTGTTGAATTCTAGTGTTGAATTTCAAAGCCTTTCATTCTCATCCTCGGGAGCAGATACTCCCCCAAAACATAAGCAGCCTGAGGTACAAGCAATCAGTGGCCAGTGTTTTGTGTTTCCTGCCTCTTCCATATACACTCAGCTCCTAACACCACAGTGTTATCCTCACCTTCTTGTGATAATGAACATGCTGATTTTAAACAACCTCCAGTTAGTTTTCTTATACTCACACAAAAGGACTAAAGGAAACCCTCTCAATTAGACCATGGATTTGAGGTAGAACAGCAACAAATTACCAGGAACTTTAGTTTTCTGAGAGTGGTTTTACTCACTGAGATGTAAAACAGGATCAGGTGCTGGACCTTATAAATAACCAAGAGCACAAAGCTCTCTCACCACACACAGCACAGATACTCTGAGGTCATTAAGTGGAGATTTGTTTCCAACTTTTCTTTGGAAAGAGTTTTGCAGTTGTCCCCTACATAAACAGCCACCAGCCTGTGGTGTGGGACAGGGAACTGGAGTGAAGCTTGGAATGAGGGTTTGTTGCTAAAGACCTATATGGATAATGAGTGGAGTGATGAGAACAGACTCGAGGAGCAAAGGCAGGAAGAGTTTGGCATTAAGAGGGCAGATTCCTTTCCAAGGTGCCAAACAGAAGTTAAGGGCTACCTGCTGTCAGTAAACACCTCTGAAACTCAGTGGTTGTTGACACTAGAGAATGACCAGCCTTGCCACCATTATTTCATCAGCAAACAGTGATGGATATACGTGGGGAAGATTTGACTGTTTTGGTCCTGACACTGTCACCTGCCAAGGAATTCACAGCACAAAGAGCAGCCCRCGATCTTTTGAGAATGACTGTCAAGGAGGTGGTGTGATGGGACAGAAATGGAGAGAAATGTCCTGCTGGTAGGTTTAACAGCTATTTATGAGCCAGGAGGTGCCAAGTTCAGCAACCTCATAAATTATTTAGATGACAAAACTTCCAGATCCCCATCTCACCTTTGCTTCTATATCTTGTCTTATTTGAGCCTTCCTYGGTTCCCCCACCCACAACTCTTCCTGCTGTCCACATATTCTCTCACAACCACCTATCACCCCTACTCATGCCCCTGTTTGCAAACTGGTATCTCTGCTCCCACGTTCACCAACTCTGCCCCTTTCCATTAAAATATTCTCCAGTGACTCTGCTCGGTTCACTCCCTGTCCTACTCTTTCCTCTGTCACACACGCTGTGCTCATCACCTGTTGCCCAACCTCTGTCTCAACCTACTACTGCCTTTTTCCACCTTGGCCCTTTTTCCCCGTCTCCTCCAGCCTTCCCATGCCTTTTGCCCATTTCACTAATCTTGTTTTACCCATTTCCTGTGTTTGGCCTTCCCTCCGCAGGCTCTGCAGTTCTCTTGTGCCATCTCATATTTTCCTTTATTGGTTTACATTGCAGTCAGGCAGTTTCTCCATTTCTCCATTTCTCCTCCTGCTTGGATGCCAGCAGAGGGAGCGGTTTGCACAGTTCTGAGTGATGCTGCTCCCAGCCTGGCGCCTGCTACCACAGGTCCACGGCTGCATTGCACCAGCAGCAGAGATGGAACAGCATTCATATCCAGTGATGTGATACCTTGCAGTAAATTCAGTTAATCTCTTAGTGCTAGCTAAACAAAGGATAACTGTAAAAATGTCATGACAATTCATCTCTCAATTATACTTCTCTTTCGCTTTCACCTTTTATCCTACGTCTTTATTTTTTTCTTGGGAAAAGGGATAAAATTTAAGTGAACTCTTTTTGTTCACTGAAGTACAAAAAATTCAACCCCTCTCCTCTCTATAATCGGCAATACAAGGAAAAAATAAATCCATAAATACCTTTGACACATTAGCATATACATGGAATACTTTTTAATCTACACAAGAAATCAACTCTTATTTATAGGAAAGTGGCTTGACTGGGCTATCTGATTATTAACTTCTCTTCTATATAGATCTATAGAACTATGCTTAACTTGGGCTAGAAAYTGAACTGAGGGACCAAAAGGGGTGAGGTAAKGGGTAAACTGAGGGCTTAGAATAAYTGGCATACWKMTGTCAGTACTGAGATCCTTTGGTTTTTATGGTACAAGATTCTCCCCCTGCCTTCTCCTATATCTTGACCTCCTTGCCAGAAATATCGGGAAACTTAAAACATAAACCAGACGTGAGCTAATAAATAATACTAAATGGCAGTTATAATATTTTAGGCAATAAACTTGCTATCAGCAACAAATCTATTTCCTTTTAAGATCTGAAGTACATTGTTGTTTCTTTTCCCTTTCTYATGTAAAACACAATCCAAATTAAAAGCTCCCTCCTCAATACAGACTTGTGTTACACTCCTCGAGCTTTTATGTTTTTTTCAAATCAGAGTTCAGAACGATAGTAGATACACTGCTTATCTGGCACATCTCTGGTTTCTTTCCAAACTTTATTTTCTCTTTTTCCCTTTTTCCAAACATTCCTAACTGAATGTTTGGATTAATTTCCTTAYAAAAGGACCCAAACAGTTAAGCCACCCAAGCTGTCACAGGGTTATGTGCAAGAGGTCTCACAAGTGCTTTGGTACTCAGAACTCGTGAGACCCCATCTCAAGTACTTTGTTKAGTCTAATCTGGGCTAGAAGCCATAACTCAAGATTGACAGGCAAGCTCATGCCCCACATCAAACACCCAACTTCAGTTATGGAGGGTGGTCACTCAAAACCGTGCCAAACAGCCATCCTAGCTCGGAGCACAGAGCCCCACAACACTTTTACCATGGCATCATTCAGACAGGTTTTTGGACATCAAAACTAACCACTGCTGCACATCGTTTGTGTGCAGCACAGTGTGGAGAAAGACAGCAGCATTTTCAGCTTCAGAAGTTAAAAATAAGAGAGTAAGAATGAAAGTGCAAACGAGGATCCCTGCTCTCCAGGACTGTAGGGGACATTTCTGTAGAGAGTTGTACAGGAGAAGATGTGGTCCAAAACCTCTTGTGCAGTTAGAAAAGCACCATGAGGAAGAAAGATGATGACAGATACAGGTGGAATTAGGTGAGGTTTGCCATGCTAAGAGCTTTAGTGGCATGGACACACAAAAGCTCACGGGGTTTTGGAGATGAGTGAACACTGGCCCATGAACTCTACAGCTGCACTGATGTGCTATCAACCCCTGTAATGAGCTCTGTGGAAAGGCATAATAAAGATATGTGTGAGTTCCCTGGACTATGTAGACACATCTTCAGAATGAAAAAAGTCCGACCTGAAGATACATCAAAATAAAAAACATTTAATGCAAGAATCAAAATTCCAACTAAGATCACCTTACCGTGGCAACATACTCTCTCAGATCTACTGCAATGACTTCACCATACTTCCTTACATTACCACCACAAGTATGAATCAAAAGGAAAATAAATCATTACTCTTACCTGATTTTGTCCCATGCCATGGCATGGGTAGAGTATGACCCTGTGTCCAGTTACTTGATGTTCATTTGTAGGGTTATAATCAAAACAGAAGTTTTCCATTCCTCTATTCTTCAGCTAATCAAAACAAAAAACATTGTAAAGTATTAGTCCAAAGTGAGGAAGATATTCCATAGTCACTCTACACCCATCCTGYTGGGCTCTGAGAYCCATCCCAAAGCTGGTGTAAATTAACTRGAATAGATCAAAGGGATGCAATGGTAACATCTCTCAGACTAATGTGAAATAAGACTGTCTGGACCGTCTTGACTTAGAGCATTGAAGCAGCCAGACATGRTGGCTTCCCCTAGGAGTGACATTGTGTGCCGAAGTATTTGCAAAGAAAATAGGTAGAAATGATGAAAAACTCCACTGAAACCCAACAAGCCAACAACTCATGCAGAACAAAAGAGTCTGCCATGCCTTTTTTCCCCCAGGATCTACTTGCTCAATTTTCTTATGAAAAGATGACTACATACTTTTCTCAGTTTGTCAAATGGGAAATGTTAGGAGGATTTGTTCTCGAAAGGTCTCCACTACCCTCTTGAKGCAGAACAAGCAGACAGATTTTAGGATCAGGAATCATGAAAGTAGGCAAAATATATCTTTGGAAAAAGACACTCGGTGTGATATTAAATGCTATTTACTTATGTTGCTGATCTCTGCCAAAAAAGGTGCATAACTTTCATATTAAATTTTAAAATATTAATTTAGCTAATTTTAAAAACAACAAGGAGCTGTTTACTCCTAGTTAACAAGGATTTGCACTTAAGTATTCAGGAGGCAAAAGTAACTGAAAGTAAGTTAAACAATGACATAACAACAATTGATTCCTGCTATTTGCCATGTAACCAAAATTGAAATTACACAGAACAAAACCAGTTCTGTAAACWAGAAGCTGAATGCCCCTGTTACTGAGTGTAATTATATTCCAGACAAAAAGAATGAGCAGAGTAAATCTCAGCAGAGTTAGTTCAGCAAGGTGTAATTTCACTGCTCTTCCCTAGTCATGATAATCATATCCTCAGTTCTTAATGTGGAAAATGAGCGGACACATAGGGATTGCAGGAGGCTAAAACCAAACAAACAAGACAAACCTCGCAGGGCCTTAAACCCACCACAGAGCAAACCACACAAGCTGGAAAATTTAATACTTGTATATGTTTGCTCTGCCAACGTCTACTTTCAGTGCTACCCAACATCTTCTTTTCACTGCTTTGTGTTCACTCCCACATTAGACCACTGCAACCCTCCTTGAACAGCCAAAAGAAAACATTTTGTTTACCTTCCTAATAGGAGGTAAGAACGACGCTTAGAAAAACAGGAAAGAGAAGCGTCTTACACAGCCTATTTTTAACACTGCCATGGAACTACATAAATCAAACAATAAGCTTCTCATATATCTACGTTCTACATCAAGAAACATCAACTTCAAAGTCATAACCACTTAAAATGGTAATTGTATCTCCACAGTTGTTGTTGTTGTCAGCAGCTGTCTTGAAGACCTCTCTCCCATTAATGTGTTTAATAAGCTATGACTCTGCCTGTCTAGTGGCTCTAAGACCAGCAAAGCCCTTATCCATGGTGCCYTTCCAGGTAACCCAATGCCTTCACCATCACTCTCTGCCATCACTCCCTGGCACAAGCTCAAGCATGTGCTCCCTTTTGGGGCCCAAAATTTTAAATATCTGTCTTCAAATCTCTTTGAAAATGCCATGCACCACCAGAACTACAGTAACTTTCCTATGCRTGTTACTCAATGCCCAAATATACACAACAAAAGCTGTGTAAAACTTGATTAAACTCAAGCTTCATTTCAGATGGTTTGAAAATGAGGCTGTACTCCACGATGTTACCATGTATGCTTTTCTCTCCTTTTTCTCTTTCACACATAAATCCTTGTGACACATGCCAGTATATTCCTACACATATATGGTCCATATTTTGACCTGGTTCTTTTCTTTTGTCAACACTGGTAGATATGCCCACTCTTTATCAGGAAGCCCAACAGGTATTCAAGACCTAATCAGTGGGAAGAGTATATTCAAAGCTTYTAAATTACCTCATCTGAAATGACACAGAAAGATTTGAAAAATCTGAATGCAGCAATATTTATAAAAAAAGCCCACAAATCTGTCCTCTGTTGCAAGGCAGAAAAAAGGTCTGAGAGAATTTGTGAAATATTTTTCTCTTGTTAAATGAGAATATACAGTTTAAGTTTCTTTTACGTGCAACAGCTCTATCAAAACAGTGATCATCCACTCATTTCTGAAGCTGTGTTTATTCCCATATCCACCATAAACAAGTCATGCAATAAGAACAAAATTTTCTCAGTGACTTACCTTAGCTCTTTTGCAGATGCTGCATTAGAGAAACAGAAGCAAGAAAAATGTTGATCACCTTGCCATTGAAATACATTGTTTAGATCTAAAAAATTCTGCCCATGCAGGACWATTGGCTGAGTCTTTCTACAACACTTGCCTCCTACTGAAGCATTGCTGGTGTTACTCTACGTGCCATTTAGTTACYACTGTTTGGAGGCTGAGACAGGTAATATCAGCTACTGAGATATTCACCTCAGACCTCATCCCTTTCTGCTTGGAGAAATTTAAATCTTTTGTTTCCTAATATCTGGACACTTGCATATAACTACACAATACAGATGACATTCTATGAATAATTCTTAGTTTGTGCTTGAATTTTTTAAAGATAAGGTAATCCATTGTAAACAAATGATCAACAGCAGATTTTTGACATTAAACAAACCATCAGCAACAGATTTTTGACATTAAAACTTCAGTACATTAGTTGATAAATATGGCCAGTGGAGTGCTGCCAACCTTTCTCTACATCCACAAAACAGATCAGAATCCTCTTTATTCTGCCAGTGTGGCAGTGGTGCTGATCTGTTAGTGRTATGGACAGATGATATCATGGGACACAGTAAGATACGARTTTGCAGCAAGCCAARCAGCTTCACTGGTACTRATCAGATGTAAGATTTACCTCAAAAGTAATCTAAGCAGTCACAGGGAATGATTTTACAGAGTGAATGCTATTTTCATATAACCTGTTAACTTGTCAAGGGCAATGCTGAAACAGGAATATAACAGATGACTAAAATCCTCTGAAGGAACCTATAATGAAACACTGTTGTTGGATTCATTGGCCCACCCCAGCAAGTGCAGATCTCCCTGGGAGGCTCAAAAACATAAGCATGTGATTCAAACAATGGTGTGTTCACTTGAGACTACTACCAAACCCTTGAATTTTTCCCACTTCCTTTTAAAAAGTCTCTCCCAAGCTTTCAGAGGCTGTAGAGCCAACCAAGTGGGGTGTATTTTCCCGTGAAGGGCATGAAATCTGTAGGTCTAGTCAGTTCTTGGCTACCAATTCAATTTCAAGAGGAAACTCTACAAATTAGATTATAATTCAGTTTTAGAGGTGTATCATAGAGAAGGGACCCTAGTATGTTTGAGAACTTAGAAGATCAAACATGGAATAAAATCTTTGATTATTTAATTTAAACAGCAGAGCTAAGATCTTCTTTTGCATGCCTGTCCATATATATCATTTGGTTTGTAGACAATGTAAACAATGTTCTCTTTCATGCTCCAGCAAAACAAATTTCTTCATARTTTTAGAGGCACAGTTTAGAATCTTCCTTCTGATTTTTTAAAGGGTATATCTAGTCTAAATTAAAAGAAAATTATGACTAAGCACTTGGAAATGAAGACGARATGATCTTGGCGAAAAATGGGGAAGGAAGCTGTCAAAAGAAAAATTCAAGTTTTTGATTTCCCAACTGATTCAGTCAGTGACAGATGCCTTTACAGATAGATGGCAGAAAAAGCAACTGGATAGAAAGTCACAACAACTTCTATCAGCTTAGTTGCTTCACATTCAGCTGGGAAAAATATCAGCTAGAAACTGAGAAGAACAAAGAAAAACTTAACATGTCAGAACATAGTACGGTCACACTGCTAAGTGATCAAACCTACAGAAAGCTAGTATAAAATCCTGATTTTTGTGTCACCACTCTGTTTTAAAAGCACTCATGGTGCCAAGTCCAAAGCCAAGTTCACTGACTGACCATAATCTTTTTCCTCAGATATGCACCTCAATGCCTGCAATATTTAATATATACCTTAGAGGAGAGAAGAAACATTCCCTTGCTTTGCAGCCATGCATTTCCACAGCCACTGATAACATGAAAAGATCACAGAGCTGCCCAGTTCCTCTGTCATGAAAACATCACAAAGCTGTGATCTTCCCTGCTGTCCAGGTGGGCAACCTTGAGCTGGGGCTCAARTCTTGCTATAATTTCACACCAACCAAAGCACAAGTCCAGTATACACTCTACCAGTAAGTACGTGCTCAAGGAAKGCCAAATCAGATGCTATGCCAGAAGAAGAGAGACAACAGTGTTCTACACAAGAGCCAAAAAATTATTATCAGCCATTCCAGAAGAGCTATCATCTTATTATTTCAACCCACAGAGTGCCCACCAGCTTCACTCCCTCCTGCCACCCAAGAAATTACTCAAGCCAAAAGGTTTCGTTCATGTCCCACAATGTTCCAAAGCTGCATGAAGTCCAATGGGAAGCAAGAAGATATTTATCTCATTTCTAGGTCTCAGGCAGTTTGCAGGACTGTGATCATATCTCAGGCAAAAAGGTTCATAATTCTTTATTTTTAAGTAAAGTTTTAGGCAGCTAATTTTTTAGACAACCAAGTGTAGTATGGATACCTTTTATCTATGTATCAAGAAAAAAAAACAGAGCACAAGAGTCTGTCAGTGCACAGCTGTTCAATAATTTTTGACTCTCTTTGAATAATACATGGCTGGCTTATGGATAATCTTAGAAATATTTTCAACTTCAGTTCAAACGTAAAAAATTTTTAAGGGAGGTAAAAATCCCCATATTCCCTTGTATTCTCTTTGAACAATTAATAACTTCACACTCAGTTGAGCTGTTACTAAAACTGATACTTTTAAAACACAGTGYTTTTGTGAACCAGAAAAGCACTACACAGCTAAGGCGGGAGTAAAGAASATCATCAGTGATTCATTGAAGCTGGCAGATGGGACTCAATAYCCACAAATCAGCTGAATCAGTAGGTGCCATTTTTGCACTCTCAGTTTCTCAGAGTACAACTGTACTTCAATCACATTTTAAATTCCTCCTCCCCCTAAAAATGGTGTATCCTTATTATGCTCAAGACTAGATGACAGCATTTATGAATTGTTTTAGAGAAATATATAGAGMGCACCTAAATTACACTCTAGATACCTCAAGCAGCTCTGAACAAGAGTTATTATTTCTAAGTACTGTCAACCCCTTGTCTGAGGATGACAATTAAATCTTGAAAGAAACTGCACAAATCCCTTCTCCTCCCCAGAAAGCTGAAGCACTACCACTGGCACTAGCCCAACCCTTTCTTTTGGAGGGGGAAGGATGGGGGTGGAGGGAAGGATAAAATTCCTGAAATGCTCCTGGAATATAAGACTTGTAAGATCTTACTGTTTCAACTATCTCAGACTCTGTCAGTAGCAGTCCAGCACAAAAGAGCAAAAACTGAACCCTTGTTGTACCGGGGTTTGTTCAAAGCACTGGACAATGGTGGGTAATACTTTCCACGTCAGTGATCACAGAGATGCCTCTCCTGCAATCTCCAAGACAAATGTATGAGGGTGGCAATGTTCCAGAGGCTCCTAAGGGCTTTTCTGACAACTGCTGCCCTCCCTTTGGGAACTCCCACACTCCCCAGGGGAAATACAGTCTCCCAGGGATAGCCACAGCATTTCCACATTAGGATCTTTTTAATTCAACGAGTTACAAAGCTATTAGGGCAGGCTGTGGGATTCCTGAATGTTTTGCATATCCACAGAGATCAGATTTTTTCCCCTTTCCTGAAGGAGATTCAGCAGAGGCTGGGTAACTGAAGGGCAGATTGTAGCAAGAAAAGGGCTGGATGTGATGCAGCAAGGTGGGAATGCAGCTTGGCTGGATCTGCAGAGAGATCGAATTACCAGCGAAAGTACTTTAAAGTCGATGTGGCATTGGTAATTACGAAGGTATTTGATACATCTTTGTCTGGTGGAAAGGTGCAGTTCTGTGTTCCTAACAGGCAGCAGGTTTAGGGTGAGTTTTTAGAGGAAACAGGTATTTGCTGCATCATCTCTGCCTTCATCCCTTCCAAATGAGATTACAGTAATGTGATATACATGGAGCTATAGTTTGTATTTATTGGTAAGCTGCAAAAAGCATAAAGAGCTTTATTTAAAAGAGAAGAGGATTCTRATATTGAACCCATTGCCTGTGAACCCTTGCTGGTCTTTAGACCAGACTTCCAGATTAAAAATTAACATGTTGGTTTTTGATACACAGAATCCCTACGACCTGGAAGCACTTAGCACCAGATCTCTTTCCCATCAGCAGAGCATCATAGATTTCATCAGATAAAATGTACGAACACATGTTTCAAAGCACACTCTTTTCAATTCAATAACTAAAATAAAACACCTCACTGTTCTCTTTTTTGGTTATGCAACGTTTCAAGAAATAAAAACGTCACACTTTGCTGCCTTTAACAGCCCCTAGRTATCACTTAGAAGGAGTAATTCTTGGCAGCAATACCTGTTCTCCTACTCTGTCACAAAACTCCTTCATAAACAGCACCCCTTTAAATAAAGATTCTGATAGAAACCACATGTTAAAACCTACCAATTTTAACAGAATTCCACCAAAATCCCAAAACACAAAATTTGATTTTGGCACAAAAACACCTTCACACTGACTTAGTAGGARAGCTTAGAGAACTGCAAGTAGGCCCCCTTCTCAGCAGCCACGTACCATTCCAAAGAAGCCTGGTCTGTCCTCAGGTACGTGAAGTTCTGGATACACGTTCTCCAAGAACCATTTGAAGTCCTTACATTTCAGCTTCTCTCGTAGAAGTCTCCTTTCTGTCACATCTCCATATGGTTCCTGAAAAAAAAAAAGAGGAAAAGAAAGGAGAAAAAAAAAATTAAAAAAGACTCATCCAGAACAGATGCTCTCTTTTAAATTATCTGTATACATTATTAGGAACCGTATGCTATAGTGAYGAGTAGGACTTCTAGCCAGGAAAAATCACCATGTTTGGGTGCTGGATTTGATTTCATTATCCTTACATTTGTTAAATGTTGACAAAAAAGAACTGGAACTGTGCAAGTAAAACTTTAAAATATTCTAGAAGACAGTTTGTCTGAGAAAACTCCCTGAATCTGCAAGTGAGGAAGCCCTTGAATACAGATTGCTGGAGACTGAGAAGGTATATTGGAAAATAAAACTGCCTTTAGACYGATAATTGAAAATCTCAAAAGCAGCAAATGAATCTTGAGGATTTTAAATTATACCACCATCCATTTGCAAATTACCTGTACAGTTTTACACTTAAGTGATGGAATTTGTAAAATCTGCTAATGCATCCTTTGAACATCATCATTTTGGGGGGTGGGGAGTATGAAATCTTAAACCTCTAGAGAAAGGCTTTCATTGCARACTTTTCCCTGTCTATGGATTGAAGCAGAGCTCACATCTTTTTATGTCTGTCTTCAAAAACCTATCTTTATATTGACTAGGGACCTCAGATAGTCAGGCATGAGACAGCATTTGCAGCCCCCAGATTTTTATAGGTCACTTGATGCACTCTTTCATCAAACCATAAATGTATTTGCATTTCTCAAAGCTGTAGAAATACCACCAAAAACACAAAGCAGATGTAAAGCAGAGGCAGAGATGCCTGTTTGAATAAACAAACAGCGTGACATATTAGCTCTGAGGTCAGAACATTAATCTTGAAGTGAAACTTCATGGAACCAATTTTTGCAGCCATAGCATCAATCATTTTCCTATTATGCTATGGAACTGAATATCTGGGTTTGATGAAGTAAAAAGGTCTGAACTCAACTGCTGCAACAAGTGGTGCACAGAGTATTATGGAAACCAAAGTTCATTGGCAGCAGCTTTGATATGGGGAAAAAAAAAACCTGCATGAGTTTCAGCTTACATCCACTGTGTTACAATAAGCCAATACAAGAAATTTCCAGTACTAGCACACAAATATCCTCTAAAGTTAAAGCTCTGTCTTTACAGACATAAGATGCCCAGCACTTTAYAAGAAAAATTGTCAGAGTTTATTGCTCTTTTTGTGTATGACAAGCAGAATCAGCGTGGCGTTGCCTGTGGGCAAATCCCATATTTCTCTCTAAGTTAGACTCTGATAATAAAACCTGAATGGCTTTTATGATGTTAAAGTAAAACAATTATTACAAATGTGTGGACTGTAATGATCTAATTACCCAATTTAATACAAAGAAACACAAGATGAAAGCTAACCAAATTAATCTTCTCCAGCATCCTCCAGCACATCCTTTAAAAGCCTAATGTTTTCACGAGCAGTTTTCCCTTGGCATGTCTRTTGGGCTCAGCCACTAAAATGAGTGGGGAGCTCCCTGTGCCCCACACTGGTCCCTCAGCTCTGGTCCAGTGTAGCCAGAGRTGGGTGCCCAGCAGCCCACACAGGGCAGCTCTCCCCAGGCACAAAACCAGAAAGGYAGTGCAGTGCTTAGGAAACTYTCCCTGCAAAGAGATCATGCTGGGRAGACYAGGCACSTCCAGAAACAAGCAACAGCAGAGAATCATTTCTTTGGAGCCTAAATTTTGGACCTTCTGCCAAAGGTTCATTTAATTCAATTCTACACACTGCAAGGACATTTCAGTGTTACTGTCTTCCAGCCTACAGGCCCCTCACGATAAATGCATCCAAGTTATGAATTTGCACACTGCTTTACTGTTTTGACATACTCAATTTTCATAGTATTTATCTCCWGAAAAATTCTGCAAACAAATGGGCTTGTATTTTCATTTCATGGCAAACAAAAACATTAACTTAAAAGAAACCTCAAACCAAGAGAACTGATACTTGCAATGTTTTATTAGGAACGTTTTCATCTGAATTCCCATGACTGAWTTTAATTAATTTAATCTTTTCAATATTGATTTTGGTGGGGTTTTTTTTTAACCAAACATGGTGCTGCAGTAAATCAAACAGAAAAATCTACTTTATTTTACATCAGTCCAAAGTTTTACAATTATCACAAGACAGACAATTTTGCTAAATACTAGTACCATGCTGTTCATCTGAAGGTCTACTGTCCACCGAAACTTGTTGATTTCCATTTATTGTGTGTCTGTAATTCTCTTTGAGAGAATCCTGTATCAGCCATTTCACAGAAGTGCACATTTTAGGCTAAATTCCTCCTTGCTTTGATCACCCCTCTACACGTTATTCTTTCATTTAATCTTGTAATATTGACATAGACTGGGTGACTTTGTACTCTTAGAGAATTTCTAATTTCTTCCAAGAATTAAAAATTATACGCTTATTCTATACCCAAGAAAAAGTTTCAGAAGAAATAAGAAATAAACATAAGAAGCCCTTCATGTTAAATATGGGCTTCAACAATAGCTGGTAGGCTGAAAACAAATTCTACTGAAATTCCAGGAACAGTGCATTTGAACTCACCAGGCGAGCGTGTGGGTTTCGRTGGTAATAAAGTTGTTTATATTCATCCATCCACACYTCWGCCGCACGCACACTGTTTGCCAAAGCTTTGGACCGTGAGTACGGAGCTTGTTTGGGGAAAACGTGACCCACATGGGAGCAGGGATGGATCTCAAGACTTCCTCCACACTGCCATATCTGAGCAAAGAATTGACAATGTGTGTATCATTAATTTGAGATTTTGCAAGCTCAAGGACGGAGTAACAATAAGCTGTGCAAGAATAACACATTCTTGAGAATAYCACACCATACTACAAGAAACACATAAAATAATTTAGTGTCTCATTTGATGACTAAACTGGATAAAATTACATCCTTGTTGCTCTCAGTAATTTTTTCTGAGTTCACAAGGAGATAATGACATCCCTGGTTTTATCTGGAGAGAAGTATTCCTTTCTTAGTTTTATTTTCTTATGTTAAGATGTGGTCTACAACACGTTATGCAGGCACTGTTTAAAAAAAAAAAAAAAAAAAGAAGAAGAAAAAGGCAAAAAGAGGCATGCTTCTGTATCAAATTACTCACATAAATAGCAACCTCGAAAGAATCCAGTGGCTGATAACTAATTCTTACCGGAAATCTACGATCTATATATCATCTACATACTCTACTGAAAGCTGACTTGACAAAAGAGGTAAGCTTGTTGTATCATCGAAGAACAGTACTATGTGCTCCCATTTGTACATTCACCAGTCTAGAAGGGAAGCATAAGTGCCTGGTGGTAAAATCACACTAACCTTTTCCATTGGAAAGATGGGAAAGGTACCCCAGACCCAGCACAAAAAAAGAAAAAGGAAAGTACTTCTATAACTTACGGCGGTGCAAACAAAGCAACATGCTCCCCTGTCTAAACCAACATTCCTGCTTGCTGCCAAAGAAGAACTTGCACYTGAAGGTGGAATTGGCAGAACCCTGCCAACCATCACTCTACCCTTGTGCTCATCTTCCTGCCTCTCTGGCTCCTCAGGTTGGGAAATGTACAGCCCACGAGATAAAGTCCAGAAACAACTATCAAGCAGATCCATTTGCCTCAGCACTCTGGGCACATTTTTGTAATTAYATTCTCCTCCTTTGAAAAACCAAGGACTTTTGTCAGTTTACCTACACCACCACTTTTCCATCACCCATTCTGATCTCATGCTTGATTATGTAAAAGTAAAGCACAGCTAGGTACTTCCTATTTAATATTGTGTGTGACACGACATGGCAGACACCGTGTCTCTGAAGGGTGCCTGAAAAAAGGCTTCTGAAAYGCAGTCAGATGGGAGGAAGGAGGGTCATGTTCCTGCACTTGAAATAACTTGAGGCGGTCACCAGTGGCTCTGACAGACCTTCCCTAAAAATTTAGAATTCTCCTCATGTATTCAACTGTGCATAAGTGGCAGCTGATCATTCCTTTGTAAATGGAAGACAAAGGAAATTAGCTGGGATAGGCTTAAGAGGTAGAGGTTTGCTCCCTGACAACCTTCTTGTATGAGACAGACATTTTTAATTACATGTTATTCAAATGAACACAGCAAGAGTGAAAGCTATGAGGTAGAAAATAAAAGCTCTGTTGCTAACAGAGTTAAAAGATCGTGATGAGACTTTTCCCACATCTCTCTGTGGGATTTTTAGGGATCTAAAAAGATGAAGGCTTYCAGCTCACACAAGATGGGACTCGGTTTTAGACTGCTAGGATTTTTTTTAAGTTACTTAGAATTTCTCTCGAATTTCTAAATTTGGAAATCAACAAATGTCATCCCCACTGAATWGGTTTTGGATAATGACATCAGACTTTATGTGTGGCAAAATACTATGCTTCATTACCAAAGTATAAGCACTCTAACATGTTTGCTTTTAAAACTAAGTTTCCTTAAAGGTATAGGGAACTCACTATTCAACTATAGGGAGTACTGGGTAATTGTTACTTCCAGGATTTAAAATTTTCATTTCTTATTCTTCATGTGAGGCTTCTCTCTTCCTTTTTGCTGCTTTTCAGGGAAGCAATATAGTTGCCATTTGAACAAAGATGATTAAAGGAATTACGCAAGAAATCTAGAATTCTGTACGGATCTTTTAAACAATCTGCATTTTGTCATATGTAAGTTAGCCTACTGCCACCTGAAAGCTGCTAGGAACCAGCTACCCACCTTCACTTTAGGACATCCATTTTTGAGATTTGTTTCAAAACAGTATTTTTCATAATTATTATTTCTATGTTCAAGATTACTTTTTTTAAGCTGTAATTATCATTCAAGATTGGTCAGCAAACATTAAGAACCATACGATTGTTAGTTTAATAATGTCCAATGTTATATTCCACATAAGAATTTTTAATTAATCATTATTGTTTAGATCTACTTTTAAATAAGGCATGAGGAACAGATGATAAAGACTACCGAAATAAAAATGAAGGAAGCACATGCTTGAATTCTTCCTTGATAAAGTCTGATTTCAAAGGAATGAAACAAACTGACCATACCTATGTTAAACTGATAACAAAAAGAGAATTCTATAACAGCTGAATTTTCAATAATTAAAGCTCTCTAAAAAAATAACTGTAGGTTGCTAAGCAATGCTCATATTCCACATATTTCACAAAAAGAGTACAAAAATTATCTTGTCTTCCTATTAAAAAAAAATTAATTACATTGAAGCTAAAAAAAATCCTCAAAAGGTTTATTCATTTTCATTTTAATGGAAAACATTATGACCTCTATATAAAATCAGGTACAAATGAACAGCCATAAAATAAAGCATCAATTTAATAGAGAAACTAAAGTTGATTACTAAATGCTAAGTAAGTGGCTCTGCAGAAGATTCTCCATTAAACTATTTCAACCTTCTGTACCAGAAAAGCACATTAAATTTCATGTATATTTTGCAAGCTCACGTACATGCAGATCTGTTTCTTTACTAGGTCTGGCTAACTCACAGCTCTCATTAAAAAACATTTTTCCTTCAGTAAGGAAACAAGGTGACATTCCTTTTTTTACTTTCACTTTCATCTTGATGCACGCTGACTATCTGCATATTCTTTTGTTTTCAGACAGATGGTGGCATTATGAAAACCTACAGAAAATGTTCAGATCTCGCCTTGAGATCGCTGTCCCTGCCAAGGTCTCTGGACAACTGAMCTCGTGCTGGGTCAAAGAATGCTAAAGAATAAAAGCTCTATCACAACATTCTAACATTTTAAGACTCTCTGGAAGAAATATGAAGCATAAAAAGGATGCTGCATCCTAAAAAAGGGCAGAATGTGGGAAACCCTATGTTTCTGCTACTCTCTGTGCTTATTTTTTTCCTGATGACTTGTGGCTGAGCTCCCAGTGTGGTGCTAATGCACAATCTGCTGGAAGCTGGGTGGGTGGAAAAGCACCCCAGACACATGCACCCATCCTGGCTCCTCTCAATGCAATTCAGATAGAGACAAAAAGAAACAACACAAAAATATTGGAAAAGAGAAGATCCCAAGTATTTCGAGGCATATGATCCGGGCTCACGGGCAATAAAATTTCTGAGAAGAAAGGCCTTTTTGAACATGGTGGGCTGAAAGACAGACACAGGCATATTAAACCTTGGACCCCAGAAACAAACTTACATTGCAGTGCCACCTGAAGGAGCAGGAGCAGAGAGGGGAGGGATGATGCAACCAGATTCCCCTTTGCTCTGAGTACAAGAGGGAGAATATGAAAGAGCATGTTTCAAATCCCTCAGAAAGAGGAGTTTTGATGCCYATTATGCCCATGAAGTGAAATTTTATCCAGCCAAATAGCATTAAGCAATCCAAAATCAAGGTACATTGACTCAATTCTGCATTCAGCACGTAGTCTCCATCTCTCTTAGTCATCATGCTTTTAGCAAAAGCTTTGTCCTTGTTGCAYCTCTCAAAACCACAGAGAATTTCCTCAGTTCAGAATAATCGAAGTGCGAGAAATAGCAGTCTTGAGGACAAGTCTTTTCATGTCATTGGGAGAGAGCGGTGTTTYCAGAGACAAGAACAACAATAAATTAATTTACAGTGGTTTTGAGTAGCTCTGCTCCTAATTCTCAGGTCTGTCAGGTCTAGAAAACACAAGGACAACAACATTAACAATGATTTATCCCTTCAGACTTCTTGGAACACTATGGGCTGCCAACAAAACACAGTTAAACAACATCGTAGCATTCTGCTCTCTTCCACAAAAATCCTCACCACACAGAGCACAAGTACAAGGGCTCCAAATCAAACAGAGCAAAGCATGTACAGCACAAATGCCCAGATGCTCCTGGCAATCTGTACTAGAAAAATTGGCATGACCAGGGATATTGGCTGGCCATTGCAGTCTGTCCTGTTAAATCTTTGTCTCCCAGGAGTCGCTTGGTCCACCTGCCCCCCCAGGTGTTGGCTTAGCCCCTGCAGGGCACAGCAGCGTGCTTTTGTGCTGTCTCCTGGGACTCTGCTGACCCCTTTGTGCTTCTCCTGTGTGCTGGACTGCTGATGCTTCCTCTGTCCCATGAGGACACCACAGTCCTGAATGTTGGAGGAGAAAAGGCACTGCTCATACCTGCTGCTGCACCCCACAGAGTCCTGGCTCAGGGGAAACGGTGACATAAAAAATGAGACTGGCTCGCAGAGGTCAGTGGCAATGAAAGATCTCAAAATACCTAAAGCAGCAGTTGGTGCTGGGGCACTCTGTGTCAAAGGAAAGGGGTCAGGCTCTCTGTAAGCCTTGGTCTCCCTGAAAGCAGACACGAAGAGCAGAAAGCCAACAACTGCAGAAAGCCAACAACTGCATACCAATTTGCACGCTGTATTTGAGGAGTTCTACAAGGAGTAGATACTCCTTGCAGAGTTACACCAGAACCAGAGACAGCTGGGAGACTCCTGCTTTAGAGGGTCACGGGGCTSATGGAGGTGGGTCAGCTGCTTTGTGCTTCAGCTGGAGGCTGAACTAGACCAAGACTACTAAGCAGGCTGTGTTTGAGCTTAAGTGGCAGAAACTTTTCCCTAAGTGAAAAAGGAGGTGGTCATGAATTTAGAATAGTGTTTCCAGCTGAGACATCTCCCTCCTGAGAGAAACTATATCGACTCTAGGCCTGTGCTTATCATTCCTAATTATTTTTGTTCCTTATTTTTATACCCTCTTTTCTACAATTTCTTCACTGCAAGCAGCAGGAGATAGGAACAGCAGCCAGAAAGACTTCATKTTTCTCTGGTTAACACACAGACACCAAGAGACAGTCTGCTGATGCCTCCGTTCTCAATAAAGTAATTTTCTAACATTAAAATGCTGTTTATCCCTGAAATCAGTTTTGGGTGTTTTACCTAGTAAAAAACCCAAAAGCCCTCCTGGACCACAATTCAATGAYTCACAGAAATGCAAACATGACCCTCAAATATAACAGATGATGGGCAGAACAGACAAGAGAAATCCAGGATAGTAAGTTGTGAGCTCCCTGAAAGTCAAAAGCAGCCCTACAGCATCCCACTTACATTACCACTGGATGGCTTGAATCAGCCAAGTGTGATATGGGGCAAACCACAGGCAGGGTTTGCTCAGTGGGAATCAGCCACAGCACTGCTGACAGCTCAGCTGAGGAGGACAACTCAGCTCTGCTCTTCAATCTGGACTGTCCAGTGTCYCCTCTTTTGCTGCTGTGGATCCTTTTCCTTACATCTATCTGCCCCACACCTGAGCACTTGGTCCAGCCTTCTATGAGGGCACAATTCTACAGTTAYTGCAGATCTTCCCTCCCACCTTTTATAACCTTTATACGAACTTTTTCTCAGGTGAAACAGAATAAAGCCTTAAATTAGCACAGGGACTGCCTTCTCCTGGCCCACTGGGAACTGCTCATTCCATCAACCACAGCAAGAACTCTGAGTCACATCAGAGCACTAAAAATCTTCTTCCCAGTGACCTCCTTCAAGCTGCGGGATGTAAACTTCACCCACTAATCACACCCCTTTTTCCATTTTATACTAGAGCTCAAAACAAAGGCATGTTTTTAAAAATTGCTTTAATATGGCTATTTGGAAGGAAAATACAGCTATCCTAAAGTGTAAGAACAAGATTCAGATAAACAGCTTCCAMAATATTCCCTTCTTAACACTTGCTTACATTACAGCTATTTCATTAAGTAAAAGGGCAGGACGAAAGAAATAGGAACTTCTTGTATTCTGAGGAAAAGAAACTTTCAATTAAGCCACCTACCCTAAATGAGAATTCAAGGTTTTCTCCTCCCCAGACTTCCATTCCTGTGTCATAAGAACCAAGATAATCAAAATACTTCTTGCTCACAGAAAATAATCCACCTGCCATGGTTGGGGACCTATAAAAGAGAACAGTAACTCTGAATTGAATAAAAAGAAAAAAATATTGAACCAATGCAACAGATTAAAAAAAACCTATTTTCTCAGTCTTTTCTGGATACAAAGTGAAGTCAGAAATGTATCAAACATCACAAGGCCATTTGAATTTRATTTTGTAATAAAAAACTGTATCTGAAACAAGCACCAGAATGTAAAAATACTGTGTTAAAATAATTTTTTTTTTAATTGCAATGCCTTTGTGTGTAAATGAAGAGCCTTTTCACATGACAGAACATTAGCTTCATTGTGGCAGAACTGTATTAATCGGCTCTGAAATTCTAAGTGCTGTATACTTATCTATTTTACTTAAGTAATAATTAAACACTTGTGCTTTGGTAATTAAAAACAACATTCTTGATCCCACCAATATAAATTGAAAAAACTTTCAGACATCAAWTATTAAGTAAATATAGCCTCTAAAGAGATTTGTTCTCTTTCTAAGAAAATCTACCCATCTGTATGTTCCTAAATTTTTTACTAAGTCTGGGGGAAAAAAAAATAAAATTGGGAGTCATGACCAGGTCTTCAYAGAAGATCACAAGGCCCAGAGTGACACCACACTTAAGGGATCTACTTCCAGTAGGGTAGAGTGTGCACTTAAAACTTTATTTTGTTCAATATTGTTCCTAATTGTTTACAGTCTTAGAAAATTACTGTCTTTAAAGTGCCAAGTGTATATTGCYGATTAGAACTAGGTTCAGCTGACATTTTGTGAATTTTACCAAATTGCTGTTGAGGTAAATATTAACAAATGCAAGGTGCAGATCAATTTATCTGTCAAAACTAATTCTACCAGCTATCTTTTTGAAGCAACACTGTCTCACACTGTCACATTGTTTCAAAGAATGGAATAAGATGAGCCAAGACAAAAGGAAAAAAAACAAACTCCATAATCAGTTAAATTCTCTCTGCCTCCAGATCTCATCTTTCCAAAYCCAGCTGTTGGTGATGCCACTCCCAGCACTGCTGCTTTCTCCAGACACTTGTCGAGCTCACAGTCCTCACGCTACCATGAAACTTTATCCCTCATCATTTTCCTCTTGGTATGTCAAAGAAAATTCTTATCATGAAGTAAAAAAAGCATCATATTGGAACTAAAAGTTTTAAAAACGTTTACTCTATTTGGATTTTTTTAAAGGAGGATTTGGACTAATACATGCTGAGAAAGACTTAATTCCTGCCTCACTTTTCCCATTTAAAAATAGTTCACTCMGTTGAGGACAAGTTCTTTAATATTTGTGAAATACTGGGTATTATTATCATGATATGCCACCTAGAAAAGACTGAGAAAGATTAATAATTCCATAYTTTTTGTGGTCTATATGATAAAAGTGCTAACAAAAGCACAGTATTAAAAACGCCAAACACTTAATTTACGACAATAAATTGCTGAAATACAGCAATTTCCAGGTTTAACATAGCAGATCCTCAGGTATCAGGATCCTGTCTACAGTTCCCATTTTCCAGATGCCTTTTTTGTTCTATTACCTTACCTCTCCTAAAAAGTACATCMTCAAATGAGAAATAATACCAATTGATGGCAACTTGTCTTAAATGAAAACAAAACTAAAACCCATAATGAAGACATCGGCCTGAACTCTGAGAGTTAGCCCTTCACAGAAACCATGGTGGATAGAGCTGMATTGTTTCATCACAATAAAGAACTGGAAAAATGGTTCACMTTTAAAAATAGCACWGYGAACTACCACTATCATTACAGCATAGAARAAAATCTTCAAAACTACTTTTGCCTTCTTACTGGTTAATGATTCTTTTCCCTTTTCTTCATTGCCCATGATACATTTTTTACAACACAGAGTTCTTTGCTTCGTGCAGAAGACATCCTCCAGTATTAATTAATCAGTTCCACTCCTTCCATGTGCTGATAAGCATCTGTAAGAGTTTGCCTAGAGGAGTCAAGAGACTATTTTGCAATAAGTTTTCCATATGGAAGATGACACAGGAATTTCAGCCTTTTAAAGCAATATTTTTTACAGGAGCATGGCAAACAGGAGCTGTTTTGGAAAAAATGGGACCAAACAAAATATATAATTTTTATTATTATGGTTATTTCCCAAATATCTTTCAGCATCTGGCATTTTCAGGTGAAATCAAAACACATTCACAGTTTTAYAGAATGCAGAAAAATTAACCTGATCACGTCGGTCTTGGACTTCCTCCGTTTTTGTTCTCTTTCAGGGGTACTATGCCAAGTGAAGACCAGCCTCCAATCAAATCCACCAATCTGTGGCTCACCAGCATTTCCCAAGTACTCAAATGTATTCCAGTCAATAACATCAATAACAGGGCACACAACAGCTGTTTCTTCTTCTGCAATCCTGGCATGTTTTAAAAACAAAAGGGTGACCTCTGTTATAAACTTCTCTAAAAATAAAAAACTAGAACTGATAAGAACAAAGAATGCTGACAAATACCAAACAYGAAATTTTGCTCCTTTTCAATTAATACTGCAATATAAGGAAATGATGGRTACAAGAATAACCCCCAGTTTCCTACTGGGGATGCATCAGGAGGATGGATCAGGATGGACTCCACTGTAGGCACTTGGCAAGCATCATCCATCCTGGACGGTGGGAACAAGGTATGCCAGATGGCTTGAGATAACACATCCAGCAGCTGGCTTGGCTGCCAAAGCCAGCACTACTTTCTCAACAAAAAAATATCTGTTTTCTTCTGAACAGGTAGCTGTTTTTAAGAGAGTGGCATAGTTGCATAGCTCCACAACGTTGAATAATTAACTAGCCAGCCTCTTGGCCCTCAGAGTCATGGCTTTTCTTGTAACTGGGATTATCTGCAAATGTTATATTGAGTACAGTAAAAGAAAGTCAAAAAGTGCTGAGCTTAGAAAAGACCAAACCTGCAACATGGGAATTAGACCTCTAACAACGAAACATACCTGAAGAAGGTTTCCAGAAACCCTGGCAACATAGGAGATGAAATGGAGAAACAAGATAGTACTGCAGAATGACATTCCTATCAACAAGGGTGATCTAAAGATAGTCAAGATCTTTATCATACTAAGAATACGTCAGAGCTGATGACATTTCGTGCAGGTATACAAGGAGATAAACCCCGTCCTCCCATTTCTCAATACCATGCAGGGTTTTCAGGATTCCCTTCCAATAGGATTTGTCCTTACAAAAGGCAGTGGGATTTTTAGCCTTGTCCTCACTTTCTAGAATAGCCTCCCTCAGTACTAGGAGCAACTTAAAGCACACAAGCTCAAGGCAAGGTCTTCCTTCTAAATCACTGCTTAGGATCTTCCCTGTTCTGGTGTTAGACAWCCCCGGCTAGCTCAGTGAAATTAAGTAACTTCTTGGACTTAAAAATGCAGGTATGCACTTTAGCCCTGCCATCTTCTATTTACATACTTCAGAGATGAAGGAAGACTGCACACATTAAATTGTCCAACAAGCAAGAGATGCAGTGCATCTGTAATTCAAAGGGAGCAAGTTCGTTACAGGATTATTATTAATCTTAAAACCCATAGGCTGACCAAGGGCTCATACTCTGAAATTAAGAGSAGCTTGTGATGGCTAAATGCAGCAGAGAATAGCAGAAGTACTGTCTGAGGCGAGGACTGCCTTAAATGAAATGCTCTCTTGTTGCTGGAGGGAATATGTGAAACAGCTGTTTTCTTCTTTATGATCTCCCATTGAAATCTTGTTTGGTAGAGCACACAAAAGAGATTATACAAATATTGTTATCTCCTGTCTCACTTGCATAAAACTTTGYACAAATCCTCATTGTACAAAGCAATGAAAATGATACACACACAGAGGAAAAGGAAAAAAAAGAACAAAATGTAAAAATATTTTGCTCCTCCTGTAACAAGTAGGAAAAGAAGTAAAAATTAGGTAGCTGGCATATGATTTCAATTATGAAAGGAATGAAGTAWATGAAAAGCCATCACCTTTTCTGTAAGTTAAGAATTAACTAGGTGGTACAATGCACAGGGAGCATATAAACGCAACTATGTTTGCACTGCAAAATGCTAACACTGTTGTATTGCTTCCATACATTTCAGTCAGATATAGCACAGAGAAAACCCCCTTGGAAATGTACATCTGCATCTGCAGCAAAAACGGCAGGAATTCCAAGAGGGGGCTAACTTTTTACAGGTGATGAGTATTACCTGTAAAAAAATCCCAATCCTTCCTCAAGATTGCCATCTAGTGGTGTACTAAAGAAGCCAAGCAATCACAGAATCATCTCCCTAGTTTCTTTAGGGGAATTACATCGTTAAACCCATGCTCATCTTTTTATGTTTATCTCTTTTCTTCACGCTTTAATGATTAATCCACAGTTACCTGGAATATACTCGGTGCGACATTTAGGAACATGGTAAGTATGACAACTTTCAGAAAACAAAAAATTGAAATAGTGTCCTTGATAAAATTTCAAATGGACATGGGGAATTTGAGAACACAAGTCTCACTAGAAATCAGGAAGACTAGCACCAACCAAGACACTACATGCTTCTGGAAGTCTCTTTCCCATTTGTATAGGGCTATTTTTCCTGGTGCTTTTCTGTGCTCTACTGTACCTGGTGGGAATCTTAACAGAATCCAAATCAAACCACTGGCCTTGAGAAAACATTTTTTTTTCCATTTGATTATATTTTAAAGACAGCTGGTTTTCTATATACAATATTTAGGAGGTCTGACTCAGGTCTGACTGTATCCATCAGAATCTGCTAATGGCATCCAAGAGGATAAAGACATGAGCTGTTAGCAAAAGGAGCAAGAGCAATAAAACGTGATGGGATACAGGGCCAGCAGGTGCTGGGGTGAAGTACCAGTGGCTGAACCCATAGCAGGAACAGTGCATGTATGGCTGCTGACTACACATGGGTGAGGCTTCAAGAATATCATAAATATTCTCAGCTGTAACAGAGGGCTAGTATTCTGGTTTCTAGGGGGGTTTTGTTAGAGCTTTAGGAAGGTTTCTTGATTTTTTTGTTGTTTGTTTGCTTTTAATTAATGGAAGTTTTCTGAACAGCCTGACGGATCTGCAGTATAAACAAGAGACTACACAAGCATAAAGCACACTGTTCCAGGACAGATGGCTTCCAAGCAAGAGTCAGTGTTGACATAACATTAACTCCTCCCTATCCTACACCATGATGCTTTACATAAGAACCAGTCTGGAAAGGTAGATTTGCTCAGGGCTATGGAGTTTACTGACTTGTATTCCAATCTGCTTATGTAAACGTTGCCTTGCAGGGGCACACATCTTTCCTGACCTTTCACTCATCCACCRCCCAGGCTGACAGAAATAGCCTCTTTTACCAAGGTGGTTTCAAAGCTGGGCATGGATATGTCTTCCTGAAATTCAAAACTTTTCATTGTCTGAAGGAAAAAAGAGCAGTTTGGTCCTCAGGAGAAAAGAATAGAGGCAAAAAACCCATCATGTCCTGATCTTTCACACTTCCATTTGCTTCCCCACAGCCAGGAGACAAACACTTGCAGTGCCTCAGGGACCAGACTGCAGTAACCTTTGGTAAACTATGCGTCATTTTTCCACTGCAGAAGTGGGCCAAACTGTCTCACCCTTTCTTCTCCAATGGGAAGAAAACCAGCCAGAGCATAACCTCACCTTGCCAGCAGTGGCTCCAGCCAGCCCTCGTGGCATTCACAGTGGCAGTCCAGGAAGGTCAGGATGGCTCCTTTKGCCACAGACGCCCCCAGCAGCCGGGCTCGAACCAGCCCCTCTCGCTTATTCGCGCGGATCAGGCGCACCTTGCGTAAGCCAGCCACGTAGTTTTCCAAAGTCTCTTTTAAATGCTCTGTAACAAACAAAAAAAAAAAAGGGAATAATATAGTCTGAAATGGTTTATGTCACGCTACAGAAGGCTCTCTCAGTAGCATATTACTTACAGTAGTGCCCTAAAGATTCTGGCATTTTGAACTCAGGTTGTGCTATTCTGTTTGCTATTCATGTTTAGAAAGGATGTGAAAAAAGCACTGAATGTGGATGGACACAAATTACTTTTAAGAAATTGAATGCTTCACATTTCCCTCTGTAATTCATTCCCAGATTGATAAGTGCTTCTCAACTGTTACTTAAAACTTCCTGCGTAAAAGTTTTATTCTCAAAACAATTCACATGTGGTGGAAAATGCCAGCATTGCCTTTATGTCCCATTATTCAAACAGGACCAAAGAACTAGGTCACTGTCATTATATGAGACACCAGGGGAATGCTGTGCAATCGAAACACTCAATTCAGGAAACCTGAAGTGCTCTGATCAGACTGTAGTTTATCTATACACACAAACACTCATGTTACCACACTGCAAATGCRCTTCCCCATTCTAAACTAAATTTGGTCCAGAAGTCAAACTTTTCACTGGCACAATACAAGAAAAACTATTTTCCAGTGAGATGCCTATGCTATACAGTTTTCTGGTATGCGACCTGAACAGCATAACGATTTTTCCCATGAACTAGCTGACCAAAAAAGCCCATGAACAATCAATATTATTTAGACTTATTCTTCCTACCTTTGTCACTGTAATCATCCACAAGGATAATTTCTTCCAAAAGAATATCTGGAGAGGTCTCAAGAACACTATGAACAGTTCGCAGAAGTGTTGACCAAGCCTCGTTATAAAAAGCTATCACAACAGAGGTTTTCGGCAGGTTATAATAATCATATTTCTTCTCTCTGCATCTGTAAAGGAGGGGGGTTAGATTTAGTACTAATGCAAAAGCATTTATTAATTTTCAGAAAGCAATTCTCAAATCCATTTTGCATGCTAGTTACTAACTGCAAGCRAGAACATAAAAAGGATCTTAACGGAACTGCATGTTTGTGGAAAAGTGTATGAGAACACATCAGGAAATTGCTCTTCCACAGGTTCCATTTCCACAGAAGCGTTATGACTAAAATTCTGCAAACTACTAAAATATCCAAAAAGAAAAATAATAGGAGGTACACTGGGCTGGTGTAGCTGCAGTAGCTGTCTTTGCACAATTTCAAGTAGAAGAACAAGCAATGACTAAAATGTGTCTCACATTAAAGAAGAAGAAAATTGAAAATATAAAACCTAAGTGCAGTAAAAACAGTAACATAAACTACTGATCACTTGTGGTTTGGAAAACAGAACAAGTGTTAGACAGTAAAAATAAAACTGTGAAGGAACAGCAACATAAAGAGAGGAAAAAACCTCAAACCAAACAACCAGCAACAAAACTGAAATGTACATACACTGAAGCAGAATTTGGAGAGACCACACAACTGCCAAAATCTAATTGTGAAATCCATAAAAACCTAAAACAGATCCAGAAATACATGGGTTTGGCTCTGTGGAGAGCCAGAAAGTTTGCAAACCTTTGGATCAAGCTCCAGAATGTATTTCCTATAAATACRTATATGAACTTCCCTAAATGAACATAAGGATGCCAAGAGACTTACAGCTGAGCCAAATGTATACATTCTTAMAAGAATCCTTTGGTTTAGAAGAATTTTAAAATAATGATGGCATTTATTATAATTTCTCCTCGTTGCTTAGAGTTTTTATTGCCTGGAGTCACCAAGGTTTGTAAGGGGCAGGGCAGACTTCAACTTCTAAAGACTGCTARGATACAACAGACACCTAAGCAGGTAGGACATCCCTCCTACCAAAAGGGAACAACAGCGAGTCCTCCAAAACATCTACCATGGGGAACTGAAAAGGGAAATCAAAACTGATCAGTAGAAAATGCGACAGTAAATCCCTTACGTCAATTTAGGGGCATAAAAATTCCCCAGAACACTAAGAAAATGATATTAAAAGCACACTGCTTACCTGTAGCGCATTGAGAATATTTTTACAAACTATTTAAGGCTGCTGTGTCTGCAATTAAAAAAGAGGTTTCTATAAAGATTAGGCAGTGGCTATTAAGAGCTGATGTACAGAAAGAAAAAAAAAAAAGTCCAAAACTGAATATGCCTAAAATTAAAATTCTGATGAGGAAAACAAGAAATCTGTAGAGTACTTCTGTAATAAATACCTGAAAATGAGGAAGAAACAAAGAGAAATGACACTTGGGCAAAGGAGGCAAAGAAGGCTGCTTTTCAAACATGAAAGGAATGCCATGCAACAACACCCATGAATACAGACATACATACATAGGTAKGTACACACACACACTTATCTAGTGAAGTACAAGAATGCCTGTCCCTCCAGGCTGCATCTTATCCTGAGGCAAACAGGGGCATTCACACAGAGAACTGTCTCACACTAGCACCCAGTGACAGAGTTGATTTATTTAGCCAAACATTCATGTATTAACACATAAAAAATGAAAAGGAGTGACATTTTAATTAACTTTTTTTTTTTAAGGTAGAAAAACCTACTGTAGSAATCCAATTTTAGAAATACATATTTACTTTAACCTACTGAAAAACATTTCTGCTCAGTACTGCCAGGAAAAATATCTCCCTGTGTATCAGTCACTTGTACCAGGTAATTTTGAGTTCATTTCTTGATGGAAATAGGATCTTTACATACCCATTTTAGAAAACTGAAGGAAAGTGTAAATAAATAAATAAACCCTCCAGGAAAGCATTCTTTGAAAAATATGTCAGGAAGATTCATGGAATAATAATGTCGTATTACATCATTAAAAAAAAAAGGAAACCCAAAAGGTCTAAAGAAGCTTATAGGTCTAATTATAGATTAAAGACTTCAACAGATTTGCCTGAAAATTACATGCTGGAGACGGAAAACGTAATTTGGCACAGAGCAAGGCAATCCCCACACTGTTTGTGATTCACTCTGCATTGCTGCCTCCTTCCTTGAGCACACCCCACACTGCAGGAAAAGGTCAGCCTACTACAGGACATACCACAGCACACGTTTCTTAGGTTTCCAAAGTCAAGAAAGAGGCCAACACTAAAAAAGGGGTTTAATTTACCAGCTCTGTGGTGGAAGGAAGCACAGGAATGCAGAGAAATGACCTGACATGATAGCAGGACAGGCTGCCCACCARTACGGCCACCCTGACCAGAGCACTGTCCAGATAACCTTATTTAAAAATGGAAAAAATTAGGAAAAAAAACCCCTTTATTCAAATTCTGTGCTGATTTGCATGTTTATCTCAGAAATTACTTCCAAGACATATACCTCTTGSTAAACTGCTACAAGACCTCAACTGTTAGCAGTCTCAAATAGTGTTGCTAAAGTGAAGCACACTTTTCCTTATCTTTCTGTAATGAAGGTGTTTTGCTAAYCGTTAAAAATTAATGCCATTCAAGAGATTACAAACCCAAAGCGTTCAAATCCTGGAAAAATTAGAGTGTAAAAATACCTTTAAAAAAACTAATGAATCCCTGAAATGGAAATGCTTGGAAGTGTTGCTGAATAACAATTCAGTGGCACGCATACGGACATTAAATATTACCGCTTCACAAGATAAAAAAGCTTCAAGAAACCCACTACAAGTATGAAACCTGATTTAAAGCCTAGTGGTCATAACTAATCTTTTCTATTTATCAACTCCTATTTACCACAGAAGCACCATCTTCTGTATTCTGTATGCTGAATACAGCAGCCCATCTTCTGTATTCACCTTTGCAAATTTCAAGATGCATTTTTATTCTCCATGTGCGAGCCAAGTAYCCCAGCTCCTACTTTCCAAGTGAATCATTTCACACCTACTTAGGATTATTCGGGAAAACAAATGCATACCACTTATAGAATGTCATTAAAATGACAGCAGCTGGTAACAGCAGTCCCAAAATACGTTTCTGCAGATACTGGGAATGTATATTTATGTATGCTATACTGCAACCTGCTTTCAGCTTCTGACTAGGGTGCTTTTTAGTGCCACCCTCAAACCCGTAACGCTGTCTTTTCCAACAGAGAGGATCATATTAAGACAGGAATAACTGCATCTCACATTATTTATCCTAAAAACGAGGTGCCACCTTTTAGCTGTTCGTCTGAACTCTGCAGGTCCCTAAAGACAGAGCCCTAAGGCTCTCCTCATCCTCCTTAAGCCACTGATCCRGCACAGCACAAGAACCTCGGTGGGTCCCCACCTCACTCTTGTGCATAGAGGTTAGACTTTTTTTTAGAAAAGTTGCTTAACTTTTCTATGACAGAAGCCAAAAATGTAAAAAAATGTATCATCATATATCCAAATTCCTGTGGGGTTTTGGTTTTGCCTTTTTTTACACTGGATTTTTAACTCAGAGTCTGAGAGTATACAGCTGACAAGTTTAATAAATTAACCTTGGAATCTACTTCACTACACAGACTTCTGTTAGCAAGTTTTACAATAGGTTATTTATTAGAAACTAAGGAGACATCACTCAGGAAATGCCTAAACAAAATTAAATGGGTTGTTTTCAAGAACATTTGTGTCAATTAATGTAATCACTCAATTTATTTCATTGTAAGGAGCTGTTGCTCTTAGAGATGTGTATCTATACACGGGGAGAGAGAGCATGAATGTGTGTACACTGGGCATACTGCCATGAGTTAATTAGGAATGGTTGCTGACATGCTCTTCAGACTTTCACCACAACTGTGGCAATGAGACAGAAAGGGAAAATAGACTTTTRTTCTCCAAATTTGATCTTCTATATGCACACTCATATTTTAAGAAAAAAAATATTAAATGCTCTGAGAGTTTTCAAAGACTTGTTAAGAACGCAAATTGCTCATAAATTATTTAAGGCCTTCTGAAGGTATACTACAGAAGTTTTGGGTTTGAAGTTTCGATGTGAATGCCCGAGGCACGTTCAGGATTGCATAGCTTCTCTCATGAAGTGCAAAATAGCACATGTCACTGCTGGAGCTGATTCTACATGATTTATGTGACTACAGTATGTGGCATTTACGCTCCATCACAGTATCATCTAGAAAACACTGCCAGGGTTCTGCTTCAGGCGGGTTTTCACATGGTGGGCTAAGAACCAGGTTGGCTGRGCTTGTTCTGATGGGCCATTGACATACTCACTCACCACACAACCTCCTTTCCTCTTCCTTTGAACTGTTAAAACACTCACTTAAACTGCTCTTCTAGTAAAAACTCTGCTCAAATGTGGCATTTTGCATTTTGTAGGCTGTAAGTAAATAARGCTGATGAGGATGAACAGCAGCATCCATGGGCATCTCAATCTGGTTTCACCTTCTTCATTCCCACTCCATAAACAGGAGAGGCAGCAATATGGGCTCTGGGATCTGCCAGCTCTCTTCACCCAAGGGAAAACACCTCCTTGTCCCACCTTCCCAAAGCCATGGCAGAGGACACAGCTGTACAGGGACCTTCTATCTCCTCTTATCCTTTTGGCTGAGCAGCAGCTTGGGGTTCTGCACATCCATACCCAAGAACCCCAAACCCCGCAGCATGACACAGGGGGCAACACTGGTTTCTAAGCCACCCCACAGCTACCGTGCCCCTTACTCCAGGCTGAACACATAGCTGAACAGCCACTCCTCAACCCTCTCTGGGGAAGAGCAACCTGTGGATAAAATCCAGCATGCAAGCCAAAAGCAACACCACCCAAAGCCTGGGAAACGGAAGTGGAACATTTCAAGTGGAAGTAAAGGATATGATAAACCACACTGTTCTTATCTTCTCCAACCACYACCCAACTTTTCATGCCACATTTATATTCTCACACAAAACTACCTTGAACCACCTGTCAGTTCAGAGATTTTCTCCTTAAAATATAAAAAA